CCACTTATCTGGAACAAACTTCCAGAAAACTGTAAAAGTGCGGAAAGCCTGAGTTCCTTTAAATCAAGACTAAAAACAAATTTCTTTAGGATTCCTTCGACTGTTCTAGTTAAACAGTTCAACTAAAACACATTTTCTTTAGTCCAACTGTTTTTAATATTCTTTTTTGTTTCTGCATTTTTTAGTTTATTTTTTTTTTTCCTACTTGCGTTGCTTCTGTTTTATCTTCCTGTATTTTAATCATGTAAAGCACTTTGCATTGTCTTTGTACTGAATTGTGCAATACAAATAAATTTGCCTTACTAACTGAAAACCCTGAAGGTTATCCTAAACCTCCAATGGGTATAAATGTGTATAAGAATAACCCCATATCTGAGCTGTAATCAGGCGGGGACTGGAGCATCTGAAAGTCAGGAGAAACTGTTGGCAAAGGGAAGTAGATTCAAAAGATGCTTTAGTTGTATTTAATAGAATTTTCAGTATTTAGTCCTTTTCAGGCATCACATTTGCTCTGTGATACAGGGTTACCACCTACCTGCTGCTGTGACATTTTCCCTTCACTTTCTCTTTATCCTCTTGGATGAAACATGCGGTTTTCTTTCAGGAAAAAAAAACTCACTGATGTCCTTTAAAAACAGTGACTTTCAGCAAAACCACAGTTGTGACAATGGTTTCCTTTATCCTTTCCTCCATCCATCATCTATATCCGCTGCTCCTTGCTAACCCTCATCTAAACAAATTATTCTACCTGGGTTTAATTTGATAAATTCCTGGGTGCTGAGCTTGTTTGGCTCACTTGGGTTTAACCAGTTTCCTAAAAATATTTGTTCCTATCTTGGGTCTATTTTCTTGAAACATGTCAAATGTTATCCAGAAGGGGAGCGGGGCTGAGCCGGTACAGATGCAGCTGGAGGCAGTGAAATATGAAGGTTTCCAGTCACAAAACCACCTTAGCAGCAAGAATCCAATTAATGTTCTTCATGTTTCCTTCATGTTTAACTGAAACCTTTTACAGAAAACCTTTTCCTGCTTCCTCTCTCACCAGACGCTCTGTATAGATATGAGGTCAGGTGTGTGTTGGAACTGATGTAGGCTCTGATGGTTTCTCTCCTGTTAGTCTCATGGTTACAGTGAGGTTCATTCACTTTTTTCTTTTTTTTCTTTCATTTAGTTTTGAAGAGGCCATCATGGAGTGAAGATTGAAGCTGTTTGAGTTTTCTGTGACCCTCCACTGATGCTTCCTGTTCCTTTCTGCTGCTAAAGGCTGAACATCCTCATCCATCCACTAGTTCTCCACGGTTCTATCCTCTCTGTCTCAGTGATGAATCCCTATGCAGATGATGCTTATGAAATTCCATGCAGTCCAGCTAACTTCAACTCTTCTGTGGATCAATCTGACCCCCCAGTTATCCAGACCACTCTCAGCTCTCTGTCTGCTTCTCCTGCTGCTGGTTTCCCTCCTGCCCATCATGTCCAAATACCCAGCTCCACGCTGCACCTCCCCGCCTTCAGTCCCACAGAATCTCAATCCACAGAAAACCCCTACGCTCCCCCCGCTGCCCTCCACTCCCACCAGGTCTCCATCCCATCCCCAGACGTCCAGCCGTATCCCCCACCGACCGAGTTCTTGGATGAATCGGCTCCAGATCTGGAGTGTGCCATTTGCTTCAGCCAGTTCAACAACGTCTTCCGCTGCCCCAAGATGTTGAACTGCAAACACACCTTCTGCCTGGAATGCCTGGCACGCATGAACGTCAAGTCTTCTGATCCCAACGCCATCCAGTGCCCGCTGTGTCGCGGCCTGACTCCACTGCCCCCAAACGGGCTTCCCAAACTGGCCACCGACTCGGACGTCCTCTCCTACCTGCCGGCTGCCATGCAGAGGGTCTACAGCATCCGCTTCGTCCGCAACAAAGGGAAGCTGCAGGTCAAAAGGTCAGGCTGGGGTCACACATGGTGGTGGGAATGTTTTTGTCTTTTCTATCTCCAAAAATACAGAGTCAACGATTGGCAGCTGAGGATGACATCTAAGAGCTTTGAAGAGTTCAGTTACCAAAGTTGCTGCTGGAGGCGTGGGGGTTTTTCGGGTGCCTGGGTGGGTGGCTGGTGTGCTGTACTTGGTCTGGGTTGTGATTGCCTGGCAGCCATAGGTAGAAGGGGACTATATGTATGTGGAGGGCCTGGAACCGTTCTAATTCACTGGGGTTGGGTGGGTGCTTCGGAGGGTTGGCTAGCTACAACAATCCTCCTGGGTCTGTGCCCCCTAGAGGGATGACCCCAAGTCCCATGTGAATAGTCTATATATGAGTGTAAGAATATGTTTAGTCTTTGTCCCTGTCTGTCTCTCTGTTGTGTACTTGTATATGTCCGTAAGTTTCTAAGGGTGAGATCGTGCGAATGTGACTGGATGAATGTGAAGAGGTTTTTGTCTTATCAGGTTTGGTGTTTGCCTCACCCACCCACTGAACATTCTAAGTCCTAAATGTGATTGATTGATGATTGACTTTTATCTCACAGTGGAGAAATTTACTCATTACATCAGCTCAAATAGGCAAGAAGGAAGAGGTGCCAAAAGAGTAAAAGATGCATGGGATATGTGCGGTATATGCATGCTGATGGTTCTTTAGGTGTGTGGTTGGGTACTTCAGTGCTGTGGTCTCATTGCTGGTGGCTGCTGGGCCAGGCTTTTGCTTCCTGGTCCTGTAGAGTTCCCTGGTGGGTGATGTGTCCCCAAACTTTGACTCCGGGGCTTTCATCCCGGTCAACCTTGGCCATAACCGGCCCCTGGCAGATGTCTTGGCTGCCACAGCCCCATGGGATCTCAGAACTATGGTCTCTGGGGTGGGACCCCTTGGGGACTGGGACCCTGTGGGGTTTGGGCGCTCGGTGGCCGGGCTTTGGGTGCTCTTGTCTTCCCTTCTCTGGTGGGTTCAGCCATCCCAATGTCTCCCCTCCTTGTGTTCCAGTGATCTGGGGTGCCTTTAGATATCTGGCTCCCATTGCCTCTTTTTCTGTCCGGGGCCCTGTAGGGCTAGTCTGGAGCTCCCCACAACTGTTGTTGCCTTTTCTTTTTTCCCCTGTTATGTTCTCTGTTTTCTGTCCCTCTCGTGTCATACAGATGTGGAAGCACACTTCTATGAGTTACTGGACATCTTGTCTGTTTTTGCTGTATTGTTTTATTTTCTCTCTTTTGATGCCCTCTTCTTTCTCAATTATTTCCCATTAAATAATTGGAAATAATTTATAGGGATGAATCAATTAATAAAATGCATTTAAAATCCTTTGTAATTAATACCCTCTTGACTTAATCTACAGATAAATATAACATTAAATAATTATATGTGCTTCTAGGGATTAATTGTCTGTTGCAGTGTAATTTTTTTGGGTTCGCACGCTAAAGTGTTTGGAAACCTTTGATCTAAAATAACCCATTTGCTGATGTAAACATCCACTCAGAGCAGAAATTAAGCTAAAAATCAATATTTCAACATTTTGCATTGAGAAAGAAAATATTTTTTCACCGTAAATAAGCTCAATACAGAACAACTCAACTGACGTAGATTTAGCTTCAACACAATCTGTATTATTTATATACAGGTGTAACCAGTTTGATCCAAGTGATGATTATTTTCAGTTAGATTCTGTCTGTGAAGCCACTCAATGCAGGTTTTCTATTTCGTACCATGGAGTTGACTTTGCAGCAATTTCTCCAACTGACCAAGCATGTGGCTACATTGGGAACCAAGTGCTTCCCAGGATGGAGGCTATCAAAGTTAGTATAGAAGCTTTGTAGATCCAATGTGGGCAAAAAAAAAAATTATTAGATGGAAGAACAAGCTTAGAGTGCTCAGGTATGTTCAACTTCTACCTACAATAAGCAGGATAACAGCCCTCTAGGTCTTAATTCAAAGATGAGGAAATGTAAAGAAAACAAATAATCTGGAAATATATCTTTTATTGAAAGCAGGGCTGAAAACCAGTGATGATCCTGATGGGATCTTCTTTAAAGGGAATTAATATTTTAGTGCAGCAACTCAGACTGGAGATGAAATAACAAAAAATATACACTGTAGAAAATGTTAATCTAAGTAAGGTATTTTATTCTTGAATTGGGCAGATAAGTGAGACACTTGGCCAATGGAATAAGACAATTTATATCTAAAATAAGAGAAACTACTGGAGTCTGTTATTTCAAGTGTATATTATATATTTATCTTGTTTTAATGGTAAAAAGGCTTGTTCCATTGGCAAATCATCTTGTTTTTTCTACTCAAGTCAAGGGTAAATACACAAATTTTAATGAATTGTGTTAGGTTCAAAAATGTAGGTTCGTAAAAGAAGAACTGAGTCTACACAGAAGAGGGATTTTTTAACGGCTTCTGCAGAAGGAGAGAGCTACATTCAGCTACATCTACTCTCTGACGGACTTCCTCTGCAGAAGCCTTTTTATTAGCAGATCATAACACATGGGGTGGGTTACAAAATAGTGTTCTTCTGACAAGCAATTGATCAGGTCATAGGACAAAATGCTCCTCTAATTGAATCACAGAAGAGAGTGGTCTCCTGATAACTGTGTTTAGCCTTGCACAAACATCAGCAATTTTCTACCACCGTTGCATGACAGTTTACATTAAACAGAGTGAAGCGTTTCATTTCTCCAATGTTTCATATGTACACACATTAACTTTATAATCATCAATGAATAAACCTAACAAATTGTTTACTCATTTTCAGAATGTTTTTACAGTGTAGTTTTTCCTCTAAAACAACAAAAATCTTGTTTCTTTTCTGCAGGTCCAGCGACGGATTGGGGCGGCAGGGCCAGAGGTCCATCACGTCTGTGAGGAACCGCTCCCTGGATGTGGGACTTCCCAGCCCAAATACAGGGGGCAGTGGCAGGGAGGCAGGGGGGATGGGTGACACTCTTTTCAGGCTGACGGGCCGGCCGCTGTGCCGGGCCTTCCTCCTGACCTCTGTGGTGATGATGATGGTTCTCCTGACAGGAATCATAACTTACCTGCTCATCATGGGAAAAGATCAGTGAGTGACCTTACATCACTTCCTGTTTGCTTTTACATCCAATGAGAGGATGAAACCATCAAGAACTTCTTCCTTCTGTATCATAGAACTAATGAATTCATGTTTTAAAGAATGCTGTTACAGTAAAGCTGCACATTTTGTAAAGGGGAGGGTGTAACGGATGGAAATGAGATGGTGGATCAGAAATGGCGGATGTTTAACCCACTGATCAGGTCCACTGGGTGCCTGGTACCACTTTAGATTCCAATTCAATGTTGGAATTACTTCACCTCATTTGAAACGCAGCACTTTGTTTTCCTGTTTAGGTCTGTCTTAGCACTGGGTTCCTCTTCAAAATGAAAATTCACTGCCGGACTGTTTATTTCTTGCCGAACGAGGCAGAGATTTCCCTTTTAATCAAATGTTATTGACGGAAATCATGCAAACGAGCTGGGCTCTGGCTGTTCTGAAGCGAGGAACAGACCAGAGGCCCACAGAGAACCTGCGTCCGGTTCCTCCGTTTAAACAAATTCTTACCTCAACCTGTACAGTGAGTTTCTCTCTGAGGATCAGTCAGGTAAATTTGCCTGCATGTTAAAGAGTGTCCATGCAACTGTTCACAGCGACTGTTTATTTCTATAAACAAGAGGTCAGTGATGGAACTGCATAGAAAACGGTTCTGTTTGGACTTCTGTCTCCTCTTACTTTGGTTCTCTGAGATATCTATTTTATTCCTGGACAAATGAAGATGTTGCACCTTCAGACTGAACTCAGGGTTTGCACTCTGGGTGATACTTTGTGCTTTCAGACCTCTGCAGGTTGGACTGGCCTGGTACTGCGAGTACAAACACCAGGTTGACCTTTTTTGCATGTTTAATCCTGCTTGATGCAGTTATAGCCAACCTTAAAATAGTACCAAATAAATAAGTGGAAATTTCTCTAAAATAACTGTTTTGAATATCAAATAAGATGTGAAATAAGAAAATGGCTTCATTGTTTGGTTCTAAAAGGGGTTTCTGTTGAAGGCTGGATCTTTAAATACTGTCTGTCTATTCAGTTTTAGTGTTCTTCTGAGGCCCTGGCCTTTTTTACTGTGCAATGGAAAATAATGTTTTATATATTTATGACTCTTTTAGACAAGCTTGCACTGTCACACCTTTTTTTGTATTAAATTTGAATAAAGTTCAGGTAAAATCCTCCAGATTCTTTGGTTTGATCATTGATTGATGAAACTTCAGCTTAAGTAAATTTATGTGCTTTTTTATTTTTACATTTTATGTTGTTTTTGTTTTTTTTTTATTTAATCAACCTGGTTTTTGAGTTTCCACATATTTTATATTTCAAAATTAAAAACTTCAACCAGCTTTTAAGGTAAATCTCCAGTAGGAGATCTAAGAGTAGGAGCAGCTTGTTCCCATACTAGACCTACATTACATGTACAGCTAGGCTGCTTGGTATGGTATGTAGTTTCTGATTAGTTTGAAACCATTGTTGTTGTTTTTTTAGAGTGTTTCTATAAAATTTTGTAATTTAAGTTGAGCATCAAACACTAATTTGAGATTTCTAATTTCTTTAATAGGGTTTCTACAGTAATTTTCTGTCTAAATTGAGTTTCCTAAAGAAGAAGCAAGTGGAGGCTGTTTCTAGAACGTTTAGAACTAACTGGTTTGGAATAAACTATCAGTTTTACAGCTGGTGTCCGTTTTACAAATCATGTTTAACAATCTCAGATTTAAATTGGCAACTCTAAATTGATCTGGCCTAAGGTCGGGACCTTAGGGTTTTTGTTTCTGAGTTTTCTGTTTCACAAAAGCTGGTATGAATTGGTTAAATAATCACTAAGTAGGCCCACTCAGAGTTAAGCTCGTGTTTTACAAGTCTAAAGAGCCATTATCAGTGGAGCCTCAATTCGATGAGTCACCATGACGACAGGAAACAGGAAGTTCCTATGTTATCGCACTGGAACTACAGATTTTAATGAAGAAATGGGGAAGAAAAAATTGTTTTTTTTTTAGGTCCATTACACACATTAGGTTTTAAAAACAAATATTGCATGTCTGTTTGGTGAGGATCTTATCAAAGAATGATCTGCATTTTTCCACAGAGAATTCAATATTTATAGGGCGATGGTGACAGTGAATGAGATTACTTTTCTTTTTATATGAGCGAGATGCAGATCATTTTATTTTTTATATTTACACTACATGAAGAGCTATTGAAATTATTTTCAGGTTTGAGATAAATAGATTCATTAATGCTGCGCGGGGGGAAAAGGAAATACTTTAGGGTTAGGATTAACTCTATAACCTAATGAGCCTCCTGGCACAATCTGAAGGCATGATAGCCCTACGGGAATGATGGCTGCTAATAACCATTGATAACATCCGAATTACGGCTGCCATCAGCCACTAAGTATTTACTGTGTAAAAGAAGAAAAAAATCAACACGAGGAACCCGTGATTATGAACAGGTTCTATAGATTAGAACAACAATTTTAGACTTAATCTTCACCTGCTCCCAGAGGATTTCACCTGAATAGATATATTGATCCGCTACCATTCAACAAATAATCCAATAATATCGTGTTCACAACACACCATGGCAAGCCTTTTGATATGCATTAGTTTTACTGAATTTGTATACCTGATATGTGAAAAAATATTTTTTCTTTGTCTAAATGACCATTTCAAACAACATGACTCGATTCTCCACATCTATAATAAACATTCTCGATGTCTAATAAATTTCAGATTTCCATATTCCTGATATTAAAGGTCAGCATTTGTATATTTTTAACTTTGGAAAAAATGTATTTCAGATCTCCATTAATATTCAGTCAAGCTGTATGTCAGGATGTCGGCTTAAAATGTGTATTTTATGCGTAATTTAAATGTGGATGAGCTTGTGGGACCTTTTTGGGTTGATGATTGAGTCAAGATCAACTCCCAGACCTACTGCCAGTTTCTGGAAGACACCTTCTTTAAACGGTAAGAAGTTGTCCCTCCTGAGAGTCCCGATACTCAGCTCCAGCCTTCTGACTGACATGCTGGATGTCCCACTAGTGACAATGGGGCAAATGGCGGAGACCAGCCTATCACGACTGTGGCAAGTCCCTCAGATCCAATCGCTTACAGTAACCCACCTATTACTGCTACCGATAATCAATCTTTTGACCAAGGTACATGCAACCCACCACATGTCCAAAAGGTTATAGTTGGACACTTAATTCGTAGTGACTCAATACCATCTAGCTAGAGCCAAAGCATGATTCATACTCTCTCTAGTAGATTGCCAAATCCAAATGGTGAGGTTGACTATGATGCCTGGCGAACCCAAATAGATCTGCTTGTTAGTGATTTGTTCCTTTCCGACTCAAAAAAAGTAAGAAACATTTTGGAGTGCCTCCTGAAGTGGGAAAAAAAGTATTCAGCTATTCACCCCAGTTAAACGGAGATCGCTGGATTTCGCTCAGTTGGCATTTTATAAGAACTTTGCAAAGAGAGAACGGGACATCATAAAGCCCTTAAGAATAACATGGCCCCCTTGTTCATCGGATCTGTACCCCATGGAAAACCTGTGGTCCTTTATGAAATGTGAGATTTTTAGGGAGGGAAAACAGTCCACCTCTCTGAACAGTGTCTGCTGCACGCAATGTGCATCGCAAACAGATAAAGACACTGACAGAATCTATGGATGGAAGGCTTTAGAGCGTAATAGTGAAGAACAGTGGCTATATTGGTCACTGATTTGGTTTTTGTTTTGTTTTGAAATGTTTATTTCTGATTTTTGAGTTGTTATATTAGTTTACCTGGTGAAAATAAACAAGTCAGATGGGTATATATTTGTTTTTTATTACGTTAATAATTCTGCACAGTAGTATTTACCTGCACAAACAGACATCCTCATAAAATGGCCAAATCTAAAAAAAAACATCAACTTCAAAAAATATAAAACTTTGATATTAAGGAGTATTTTGGGTTGATTGAGAACACAATTGTGGCCCAACAATAAAAATAATCCTCAAAAATACAACTTGCCTAATAATTCTGCACACAGTGTAAAGCCGATCACTCTTTAATAACATCCTCGTCAAACGGACATGCAATGTTTGTTTTTAAAACCTAAAGTGGCTAACAGACCTGCTGAATTATTTTTTTTTTTAAGCTCAAAACTACAACTTCAATCTTCTGACTAAATGAGGAAATAAAACAGTGTGATTGGCTGTAAGGAGAGCGGATACAGAGGACACTGAGTTTACTGAACAAAACCTGCTCCCCACTAGGTTAGCTCTGGGAATAATGTCACTATGGCAACAGAAACAGAGGATGAGGAAACTCTTTTTGAAATGGAAAACTTCCCTGATTTCAGGTTTAGGAAACTTTGAGTTTTCAGTAAACCTGCTTCGTGAAACGGAAGGCTGCTCTCAAGCCAAACCACTGTGGGTGGAGAAGCTAAATCAAATTTTTGCTGCTAATACTTTAGATAAATCTGGTTAAATTTAATTAGGGCTATAATTACTTATTGATTCTAGTTTGAATTACAAGAATCATCACTTATTTTTTCCAAATGCTAATAAATGTGTTCTTTTTTCACATCACCGAGTTGCGCCTCACGTTAAAATAAAGCATATCTATATTTTCTAAACAAACTATGTTTATAGGTATCTTTTGATTTCAATTTTGATCTTTTATTCCTTGTACCTGCAACTATATAACTAAATATAAAATTTCAATGACTGTGTGAATGTACACTTTGGAAATCATTTAATTTTTGTTTTTACTTATTATACAAATTATGAATTGAATTAATCAGCCACAGTGGCACTACTGGTTATACGATTACCATCGGCCCTGGAGGGCCAACTTTGGATATGCCTGATTTACAGCCTTCAATTCTCCCTGTTCTGTTTTGATATTTCTATTTGTTTGAGAAGACTATGAACAATGTAAAAAAAAATCAAGACATAAAAAATACAAAGACGTCTAATAAGTAACTGTATAATCAGACCCAATGAAAAAGTGTCAAGATAGGTGTTACATTGCCATCATGTGGCCACATTGGACACTGCAGAACATTTGAAATCTAGAAAAAAGAATCTGATCAACAAATTTAGACACTGTAAAAATGTTACTAAACATTAGAGATCATGGATGATTATAGATGTTTCCAAACATACTTATTTATTACATATTTATTTTTCTATCCAAAAGAATGGATGTTTGTTGTGTGAACATGGGTTTTCTCCAGATGCTACAGCTTCCCCATCAGCAAAAAACAACTTAGTTGACATGCATCATCCAGTTCATCTGTGTGAGTTATGTAAGTGTGTGTGTCTTGGACATATAATGACTAATCCATGGAGCAGATCAGCACCAACACAGGGAGGTGCTTTACTAACTCTAGTTTGTGTCATAATAATAATAATAATTGAACTTTATTGTCATCTAAAATTTCTTTTGTAGATGACAAAATCTGAAATTTTGAGCATTAGTTGTGTATGCATGATAAAATGTTTTAAATTTGTCCATGAACGCTGGCCATTGTCCTTGATAAGATGGAGGTTTATCAGCTGGCGATACAGGTCTGGATGCATCCACAGATGTTCGTGGGTAGGGGAGGGCTGGTTGGTCAGAGTTGGGTGGGGGGGTTTGGGAGCAGTTCTTCTGGGCTCTTCCCCCATAACAGCCAGGGCAGGTTAAATAAGGGGGAGGTCAAATCCAAGAATAACACTTATTGTTTTGAGAGCAGGCTGCACAGGAATTTTCCATCAGCTGTGAGTCTTTTCTTGCTGGCTTTACATGGCAAATCCAATTTTCCAAATTTGTTAGGCTTTTCCTCCTTGAAGCGAGCATGCACATTCATGATATTATCCCATCTCACCTTTGAGTTCAACCACTGCAGCCAGCCTGCATTAAAATGCACCCAGCATCCGGCTCAGCACACAGTCCTGCTCCTTCACAGCCTTTGTGAACGTGTAACCGCTGCCGGCAGCCTGATCCAAAAGCAAACAACTTCCAATAATAATTAAATTCCTTAAATAGTGAAAATAGAACAACTTAACTCGTCAAAGGGTTATGTTGAATTATTATATGAATATGAAAAATGTAATTCCTTCCTAAAATCAATAAAGGAAAAGAAACATTTTTCCAAAATGTTTAAGACGAATGGTAATTTGAAACTTGATTGATAATTAGAATGAGTCATGGGATCCAAACTAGTTTTTTCTTAGTGGTTTAACAGCTGCTTATTTACAGAAACAAGGCACAATTACTTAATACTGTTAATAAAACAAGACTACAGATATTCATACATCTCAGTCTGCATGGAAAGTGAGATCCACTTCTCCTGACACTCAGGAGGGAAAAACATAGAATTTACAACATATTATCAGAATACTGGAAGTGTTTCTGATGAAAGCAGCAATTTCTTAAAATCCTATGGTGCAAAGAAGCTGTCTTTCTATCTATATAGTTTATGTTCAGTCAATTTACCCAGACCAACTGAACAAAAAATAAAGTAATGGAAAGAAATGTGAATAAAGTGCATTAAACATGATGAAGAGAATGAGAAGTAAAAAATGATTCAGACCGAGGTTCTTTAGACAAAAATAAGATCTTGTACATTATATTAATTTGAAAGAGAAGTTTATTTATAAAGCAACCATTATTCATTAAGCAATCCAAAATACTTCACTGGATAAAAAAGAAAGAAAAAACACAAAAAGAAAGGTTAACATGTTGAAAACTTCAAAGCATTGCCAAGAAGAAAAAAATGGAAAAGGAGGAAAAATAAAAGTAAATATAAAAAGGGGAATAATAAAAGAAAATACCAAAATGCAAAAAAAATATTTTAATACAAATATTGCTTTAATTTCAAAAATTAATCAATACCCAATATTCAGTATAAATCTCATTGTATCTGTAGCAGAATATAATGACAATAAAGGCTTTTTGACTTTTTGACTTTGACTTAATGTCTAAATCCCTAAGTATGTAATAATAAAACAGTTAATCAGACTATTTAATCAAACTAAACAGCTTCTAAAGTTTTAATTGCAAGAAACCTTAAAATACACGTTGCCTCATTATGGTTTAGTTGTGGTCAAAGGGGAATTGGAAAAACAGTTTTTTGACTATATGAGGGAATTACATGGTTTGTACCAGAGCAGCAGCGCTTAATACCATAATGATGAGTAATTTGCAAAATGTATTTATGTTTATTTGCAAAGACATTTGCAAATAAACATGAGTTTGAGATCTGAGTGTTATTTTTACAGAAGTTGGAAAAACTATTAATTTCACATTTCAAATATGCCTTTTCTTTTCTGTAAAAAGACAACCCAATAAAATACAGTATCATCATAATGTGTTTATACATTTTCAGTAGTATGAATATATTCACATAGTTTTATAGCTTTGAGCTTTTGCTGACTTTTCAAAATATATTTTTTTATATATTTATTTTTATATATTTATTTAACAACAGCACACATGTAGCTCAACAGCTGAACTTTTATTTACATCAGTGGTTAAACTTATTATGAGAAAAATTTAACTATAGTAAAGTTTAAAAATCATGGACATATTTCTACACCAAATATTTAATGTGTACAAAATAATCTTTCATATCAATGTTGCTGTAGAGAGTGATCATAAAAAGATCAGAAAGTCTGTCCTTGTATTTTGGTTGTTTTCTTGGTTGTTGATGCCCATTGAGATAAATCCTGGCTCATGGGTTCATGTTCCCTGTGTAATGCTGGCACCATCAGTCATTCAAAAAATTAAGGCTCGTATGGATTTTCAGTTTTTTTCAGAAGACGCCGAATAAGTTCCCTGAGTTCTATGTCATGACTTTTCTCCAGTTGTGTTATTTCTTGTTGAGTGCTGGCCTTTTTCATCTCAACTGCTTGTTTTGACAGCATTTCCCTTATTTTTCTCAGATTCTCTCTCTTTTTGGACACACATTCCACCATGTCAGTGATGTCTGTTCTGTATTGGGTTCTCCTATCCTTGTCAGTGATCTCTTTCAGGGCCAACAGCATGTTATAATCTTTATCTTTTTGTTTTATCTGTGTTTCATGGTCTTGTTTCTGAGCTGCAAAGTCTTGAAGATATTTGTTTTTGAACTCATTAAGCTCTTCAGCGTTTTTTCTTGCTTCCTTCCTATATGTTTCAATTGTTTTTTTTAAATTTTGCCTGTATATACAGTCTAGTTCCCCCAAATATATGCTCTCCTTTTCTTTCATTTTTTCATCCTTCTCCAGTGTGTAATTGTAATCTTGCATCGCACTTTCATAATAACCCCTAAGATCTGAAACACTATAAACGTCATCATAAATATTTTCTGCTTCAGCAACAGATTCGTAAACATGTTCTTCGTTTCTCTCACGTTCCCGTTTGGCTTCTTCTTCTTTTCTCAGCTCTTGTTCCCTTCTCTTTTCTTCTTCAGCCCGTTGAAGTCTTTTCTTGATCTCCTTAATTTTCTCATTTTTCTTCTTGAGCTCTTTTTCAATTTTTGCTCTTTCTTCTTTCATTTTTCTTTCCATCTCCTTCTTGTCATTCTGGTATTTTTCTTCTATTTTCTTCTTTTCTTTCTCTATTTCTTCAGTTTTGTCTCTTAGGATTTGCTGATATTGTTGTTCTATGGCTGTTTCTGCCTCTTGCAGCATCTCATTGGTGAAGCACCCATTTTTAGCCACCATGATGTCAATTTTTTTGATCAGCTCTTTTACTTGGGTGCGGTTTTTGATGTCACTGTTGTCAAGTACATGGTATCTTCCCCCACAATCAGCAATCAGCTTTTTGAATTTGTCATTACACTCATTTTTGATATAATCTTCAATAGACTGTGAACCTTGAAGATGATCTCCTTTTGTAAAAAGGATAATGGTGTACTTTTCAGAATTCCTCCCAAAACCTTCTTTAATAAGTTCTAATGTCTTTTCCTCCTCTGGTGTGAGTCTTCCTCCAATTGGTACCACCACCAGGAAGACATGTGGACCTGGGGCTAGAAGGCTGATACATTTCAGTAATTCTTGTTGTACTTGTTCATGTGTAAAGCTGTCATCAAACAAACCAAGAGTGTCCACCACGGCAACAGGACGACCGTCCACATCAGCCTGGGATTTCTTACAACACTTTGTTACTGACTTTTGACTTAGTTTGGCTTCAAACTCCTTTCTGCCCAGGATAGTGTTTCCTGAAGAGCTTTTCCCACATCCAGTCTTTCCAATAAGAACTATTCTGAGGCACTCATATGTCCACTTGTCCTTACCTCCTGTGACAGAGAGGAAGCAGAGGTCAACTTACCCAGTATTGATTGAAGGAAATAAAATTACAGTAGTAAAGAAAAAAAAAAATCTTTCTAAATTTGGCATTCATTAAAAGTCTACTCAATAGTTAAGCTAAAGGATATTAGGTATTCGAATAACGAAGAAGACTAGTTTCAATTCAAACAGGCAATAATGTTGTCGTAGTGGACAGTGCATGATCAATCAGACTCCTGTTTGAAAAATGTACAATCCTTAAGGGAACCATGTGTACAAATACCATAATGCAGCATGCTGGTTTTTCAAGGTAAATGTATACTAACAGATCCAACAGATTTAATTCCAGAGGTTCCTGTACAATTAGAAATATAAAGCATATGTCTGCATGTGACATTTGCCTATATTTTAAAATAAACAGATTCATTTGTTTCTGCTCTCAAAATAGTCTGTTTTAGGCCTCTTCATAAGACATCCTGTTACCAGCAAAAACATCAACCAAATCTTTTTTACTTCTATAAGCGGGACACTGACCCGATTCCCTTCTAATTACAGGCTGAGTGAAAACATTTCTTGCAAATATGGACCAAACCTGCGGGGGTTTCTGAGGAGATAATTAGCAAAACAGTAGCAGAAATGTCAATGAACAAACCTCTGTAACTAAGACTCTTGGGACCTAACTCAACTCTATATGATCAAGAACAGTACGGGTCCAAATCGTATCTGTGTGCCCTCTACTGTACCTAGAGAGGACAGTCTCATTCTAATGTAGAAATAACTGTAAATAAACTGTATAAAGTGGTCAAGTGTGTGTATCGTTACCCATTCTTAGCAGTAGTGATGAGGAGACGTGCATAAGTGGGGTGTGAGACCTTTTTTTTTGCAAATTCAAAGGAATGAAAAGTTTACAAAATTGGGGTAGGTATCTTGAAGATTATAGATTTAACAAGCTTATACATTTTACTAATGCTTATATTAATTTGCTGACTCTAGTTTCTGTAAATGTTCTAACAAAGAAAATTGGTGTCCTTCATATCTTAAGAATTTCTATTAAAATACTTACCACTGAATCCAGTTGGTGATGGCAGAATTGAAAGGTGGCTTTGTAGTGCGGTGATGTTTTTCTCTTGTTGAAGTTTATCTAAGTAGGCTTTAATGAGGTTTCCTGATGTGTATTTGGTTTGTTTTCTTTTATCCACAAAATCCATCACAGCAGAAAATTTCCTTCTGTCGCTACTTTCGACAACAAGATATCTACCGCCACATCTCTTTATAAGCTCTTTAAAGTTATTATCCTGTTCAATGAATTTAACCACAGCTGGAGCTGTAGGATCTGACTCCACAGTGAACAGAATCATTGTGTTGTTATCGACTCTAGAGCTGAATGTGTCCTGGATGGTCTGTAACTCTCCCTTGTCTTCATCAGTGAGGGGACCCACAGGTAGAACCAGGATAAAGGCGTGGACACCGTCAGGATCACAGAGGGAGATACACCTGAATGATTCCTCCATCACTTCCTGCTGAGCTTTTCCATACAAGGCAGGCAGCTCCACCACAGAAACCAAACGTCCACGAACCTCTCCCTGGTTTCTAACACACTCTGATGAGCTGGAGGCTGAAGGAAGATCTGTCTGACCTAGAATGGCCTTGGCTGCTGAGGTCTTCTGTGATCCACTACTCCCACACAGAACCAGATTTATGACTGGCAATGACTGGTCACATTTTGATGCTGTTCCATCCTCTTTGATGCTTAGGAAGGCACTGCTGTTTCTTTTCACTATATCTTCAATCTTCTCCATTAATTTCTGGTGATTTTTTTCAGCCAGGCTGTACTGTCTACCTTTGCATTCTCTGATTAAAGAATTAAGAGCAAAACTTGTTCTATTATCTTCTTGAGTTATAATAACCATTGAGTGTTTAAAGGAATCTTCACCAAACAAACTCAGGGTGGCCCTCAGAGTCTGGCTGTCGTTCTCGGTAAAGTCTGAAGGTTTTACTAAGAGCAGTAGAACATTTGGTCCAGGAGGACAAAGGGTAATGCAGCTTCTCAGGTTCTCTTTTTTTACTTTTCCCATCTTACTTTCTGGAGGTGTCACGATAGTTAAGAACTTCCCTTTCCATAGCCCCTGTTCAACTAATTTGGCTTGAAGAGATGTGGAGGAAATTTCTGAACTTGTTTTCTCTAGAATAAAGTTGCAGAGTTGCCTCTTGCTTGACAGAGTTGCTCCAAAAAGCATAATCCTGAGACCTCGGCCTGTGAAGAAACAGCATGGACAAGGTAATAAAAAACTAATATTTTATTTTATGACACAATAGGAAGCTAAACCTCTCAAATCTAAAATGGTGTTGAGTACTTGCATATGTCAGTATGTGTGTTAGAGTAGGATTGTGTGCATGTGACTGGATGAGTGTGAAGTTGTCTATGTCTACTTGTCAGATTGGTTGTTGCTGGTCAAGCTAAGAAGGAACTACCACAGAACACTAATCCGGAATCCTGCTCTCCAACGTCCACTCACTGGATAATAAAATGGATAATCTCTGACTCAAACTGTCTTTAAAGAAGGAGATTTGTAAGTGCTGCAACATCATCCTGACTGAGGTCTGGCTTCATACATCGATACCGGACAATGCTGTTAGGGTAGATGGGCTCATGCTATACCACACCGATAGAAAAAGAGAATTGAAGGTGGTGGGGTCTGTGTTTACATCAACAACAGCTGGTGTAAAAATGCTAGATCGGTCACTGGCGTCTGCTCTCCAGACATCCATTTTCTGACTGTTTACTGCAGACCGTTCTCTCTTCGCCAGGAGTTCACTGTTGTTAGAATATCTGCTGTTTATGACCCCACCCCAGCACTAATACAAAAGAGGCCATGAAGACTCTATGAGCTATCTATGAGCTCCAATCTGCACACACAGAGGGCATTTTCATCATTGCTAGGGTTTTAACCAGGCAAACTTATACAGAACGTTCAGAACCAGAACCTCTTCCTCCCATTTTTTCACGTTAACTTTGAAACTCTGGCTCATAACACTTTGGATTTAGCCTTCTCTAACATCAAAGATGCATTCAGAGCAGCTCTCTATCCCTACCTTGGGTCATCAGATCATCTATCTGTCATGCTAATCCCTACATAAAGGCCCCAGCTTATCAGAGAAAAAACACTACTGATGGAGATCAGAGTGTGAACTGAGGGGGCCATGGGGAAACTAGGACTTTTTGAATGCTCTGACTAGAACATATTCAAAGCTGCATTAACCTATGACAACAAAATAAATATGGATGAGCATGCCATGACGGTGTCAGCCTACATCAACAAATGCATTGCAGACGTCAGCATCAGAAAGAACATCACACGAGCCAACAAATGACCCTGGATGCATGGGGAGGTTCAGAAAATCGCCAAAAGGAGATGTTAGGTTTATTATTTATACATCATGTGCATTGTTATTCTGTTAGCCAGATTAGACAGAGTAGAAGGCCTTCCTTCACATTGTGGAATGTCACTGTGTGTACGGAGGTCATCTATTCAGGGCAGCCTTCTTTAAAAATACACAGGATATGGGCACATCTTGGAGCCGGTCTGAGAGAGGAGAGCTATCTGTAACCCTGAAGCATAGAAGCAAGCTGCATGAAGTTCAAGACATGGATGGCGTGTCAGTTTCTGATACGGACAGCTAAACATCAACATGATGTAACACATAGACTCATGAGCTATAAGAAGGAGAAGATGACCTTGTTCGGGGCTCAAATCTTTGCCGGACGCTCGCGGACGTAATTTTTGAGCACACAGCTGTGCAAGCTCCAAGCATTTTTCTCTGTCCTGTAACGACCTGATCTGGAATAAACGCTGTTATTTTTTACTCCTGTTTTATAGTCCTTTTTATATGGTTTTACCCAGTTTGAGTTAAAAGTAGTAAATGACTTGCTCCCAGGAAAAGAACAGTAAGGAAGCCTCCGAGGCGCAAAGGCTTTTTTAGGGGACATAACTTCCTCATTTTAACAGAGATGTATATTACTCAGGGGGCAAAATTATCATCAAAATCCAACACAGCGTTCACTATTCTGACTTCTGCCTTGAGATCATAGAGATTGTGAAACTCTGTACTAGCAGATTAAACACCTTTTTTTTCCTTAGGCGATTAGTCTTTTAAAGTTGATTAGTTTGTGATGGTATCTTTAAAGTACTTTTTATTGTTTTGTGCCTATTTATGATTAACCCTATTAATTTCTGATGGTGGGATCTTGTAAAGTAGAAATTCCATTGTTCAGAAATATCTGCACATGTCAAAAACTTCTTGACATTGTGCAAAAATAATGTGTAATTTGTGCAGTGCATCTTTTCCAACACCTACCAGCACAAGCTTCTTTTCCATGTTTTATTCTTGAAGACTGATTGATGGGGTAAATTTCTTTTCTCTCATCTAGAAATTTTCCAATTTTTCTGAACAACTCCTTGCGATCATTGTCCTTCAGAATGAGTGAATTGCCTCTGCATCTTCTGATCAAGTCCTGTAAGGCCTGATTTAAATTTATGTCCGTTTGCTTAGCTATTATTGTCACCATTGCAAGCTCATATGACTGACCACCAAAGAGTTCAAGAATTTTGTAGAACTTCTTTTTCTGTTCTTCTGTGAAGCGATCAGGCTGTACAACCAACAGAAACAGATGAGGAACAGAAGCACAAAATCTCAAACAGATTTCTACTTGTCCTTTGAGTTTTTCTTCAGATATCCTATGATAAGGCAGATCTGGTGTATTAATGACAACAAGCTTCTTTTCGTGAATTATTTTTTGAATTCTGATTGATGAGCCTGGCTCTTCCCTTGAGTTGAAATTAGTCTCTCCCAGGATTAAGTTTCCAACCAAACTCTTTTCTGACCAGCTGTCTCCCAGGAGAATGAGTCTCACTTCGGACACTGTGAAGAATAAATATAACATGTTTTGTTGTGTAGATTAAGCATTACTGAGTATATAAAAATGTTAAAATGTATGATAAATGATAATAGGACATGCAGCTACAATGAATTTTAGAAAGAATTCTGTGCACAAGTTATGCTTAAAATCATTGCCTAAAATCCAGTTATAAGTTTAAACCATGGAAAACAAAACAAAGATATTTGAAGGAAGAGTATGGCATGTACATGTATCTGTTTGTAAATATTTGGATCTTATTCAGGATCCTTTTTGGATTGGTGTAAATTAACTGTTAGCTCCAATGCACATAATTCATTCATGTAGTCATACATAATAGTATCGTTGCACCCTGTAAAATGGACTGTTACTGACCCATCAAAATTCCTTCATTTATTTATCTTTAATGTCCTGGCTAAAATAAAAATTCCCTTTTCCTGTAGCTCATTTCAATTCAAGAACTATTTACTGAAACTCACTGTTAGGTGGAAGGTATTCATAGCTATATCTCCGTCTTGTTGAACCTGCGAGAGCAAAGTAAAGAAAAGTAATTGATCAATATTCATTATCGTATAGGCCTGTATGTCTAGAATGTCACCTGTTGGCTCAGTTCTCTCTACATCACATTAGACTGGTGAAGTAGAACTTAAGGGCTTGTTATATTCCCACAGCAGCGTGTCACAGTGAGCTTGTCGCAGTTATGACGCAGACATTTTGGGTTATGCTGAATTTTGAAGCGTGGTCTGCTCTATGTTATTCCATGCCACAACACAAGAGGGACATATACGAACTAGCTATGGGTCTAGATACAGCTGAGGTGGTGAGGAAGTGGGGGTAGGTTTGTGCGAAAACCGAGAAAGATGAGGGCAAAAAAGAGCGGGGATCCAGGTGGAAAAAGGGTCCCAGCGAATGCAAATTCTGTCCTATAAAACAATGACAGCGTATTTGTCGCTGTATGATCTGAAGGCTCATTTGGAGCTTTTCAACAGGCTTTTGAAAAACTTTGATAAATTGCTGTCGTAATATTATAGATCTTTTAGAATAAAAAGCTAACAGATGTGCATAATCAAAAAATAAAAGAAATAAAATTATAGAGCTTTCGGTATTGTAAGTAAGCCCACACTGTTTATGAATAAATACATTATTGTATGAGTTAATTTCTGTTCCGTTTATGTCTCTTTCCTTATGAAAGTATGGAATGTCCCATGCCCCTGAATGCACCATAGCTATCTGACACTCGATAATGCATCACACTGGTCTGTGAACGCTGTGCTATGTGTTGGGATCTGGAGATCTGCCACCTTTCTCCAGCAGAGAGCGCCCTGGGTCTCCTGAGATGAAGCCACCTACACACCTGAGGCTGATTCATCTGATTAGGAGACCCATTACTTAAGCAGCGGCCAGACCTGTCTTCAGCGCCGGAGTGTTGACCAGTTTTGGTTAGTGGAACCTGAGCCTCAGCTTGTACTAAGAATCTCTGTCTGCTCTAGAGAGCAATCTGATTCTGACCAGTCTCTGTCTTCTCTGCTCATAGGAAAACCCGACTGAACTCTGTAGCTCTGGAGGAGCTCATGTTTGGAAACCTGCTTGCCTGCCAAGAGAAGCCAAACCTGAAGATCCTCAGTCTGAATCTTCCAGCTAGTTCTCAGGAGAGAACTAGGAGAACAACTCAAGGTCTGAATCTCGCTAGCCTGAAGCTAAGCTCTGCCGCTGCTAAGCTCTCTGCTGAATCCACAGTCTCTGGACCCAACCGGTTCCCTCCCTCTACCGATCAGTCTGAACCTCATCAGGTACAAATCAGAATCAAAACTCTGTCAAGACATCACAGCTACCTGGCTAACCAAACTATCCCTCTCTGCAGATTACTCTGTGAAACCAAGTCCCGGACCAGTACCAGAAACAGTGCAATCCTTTACTCTGTGTGTGCTTATCTTAATAAACTGTTAAACTTTTACTCTGCTTCGTGTGGTGTTCTGCATGTGGGTTTGATCACAGAGACCCATCATGACACTATGTAGATGCACGTTTCATTTTCCACTTAAGACAAAGCTTTGCAGTTTCAAAACCCACGTCGGCATCACTGTTTATTGTTGTGTGTGAATAACAAGAGACTAGAACAAATAAATCAGCCGTACCTCGGACAAAATCTTTGGCTTAAAT